CATGGGGACTTTATCCATGGGACTTCAAACCACTTCTCTTCTCTTGGGCTCAATGCCTTCATCAATAGGTCAAAGGGGTTGGATCAGTGCTTTTCTATCTATGCTCTATGGAGTGTAGGGCAACCAACTGTCCCAGATTCAAGGGCTTTCTTGGGTTGTGGGACTTTCAATGCTAAGACTGGGCAAACCAGGATGAGTTGGTCCCCCTAAGTGAACCTTACAGATGTCACAGGGAGGCCATGGAGCAGGAGGTAGGAGGCAGGACTCAGCAAGGAGGATAGTCCAGGGCGCTCAGAGGCCCCACTTCCACTTTAACTGGACCAGTAATGGCTTATTTTACACCTTGAGCTTCCATGTTAGATTTCATTGGAAGAAGCATTCCCATTGCTTTTTAAAAAAGAGTTTGAAAACCATTGAACTAAATGATCCCTGGTGTCCTTACAGTATTTTGAAATTAAAATTAGGTATCTATGTAGAGCCAATTTTTCTCTCTCTCCTTTTCATCATTCTGCCTCATATTTTTTCCTTTATCTGGTGAGATGGAGAGGGGATATAAGATAGAAATAAGTATTTTGCCTCAAAAGTCATCCTTCCTATAGGACTTTTAGAAGCTCTAAAATAAATGAGAAAATGCTCAACTAAACGAAACATGGTTGAGTTTTAAAATCCATAGCATCCCAGACTAGCCTGCAGGAAGGCATCCTTCATTTTACACCCTTCTCCCTCCCCCCCGCAGCACCATTTGTTCTGAAATTATATCTCTGGGGGCAAGTTTGGGGTGAGGGGAACAATAACTTGGCTCAACGAATTCCCTCCTATTTCAGGGCAGGGCAGAGAGCTGAGAGGGGGCCAGGAGAAGCGGTTGGAAACAACATCCCAGCTCCCCCTCCCACCCCAGATCCCTCTGGCAGCTCTAATTGAGGCCTGTCACAGGGAGAGAAGCCAGCTGCAAACTGCATTCATCAACGAATTATAGCAATTACAGCCCCAGCCCCAGCCTAATAGGGGTGACACGGCCAGTCAGGCAGTCCGTTCCTCCGATTCAGAGATGCCAAATGCTTTGGGCTGTCAGGGTCACTTTCCCCAGTGCAGATCCCACACTTTATCCCGGCCTCACACCCTGCCTTCAGCCAATACATCAGGGAGGATGGGTGCTCCCAACCGTTCCAGGGCGCTTCACTCAACCATCACTGAAGTTTACCCAGCCATCTAGGCCCAATTCCCGCTGCTGTTCATTAAGCTGAGTTTCCTCCAAATTTGGTTCTTGGGAAGAATTGATTTCCTGACAGTTCAAGGGCCTGTTAAGAATGCTTTCCTTGTCAGCACCGGGCCAGCTCAACTCCTCCATCCCTCCTGCCCACCCTGACAACACAGGGTCAAGGCCAGGGTGAGGTTCAGATGAAACCTGTGGAGGTGTAATAGAAGTGTCACCTCCCAGAAGGAGAAGCATGTGGCCACCCACACCTGTCCACAGCTGCTTCCGCACTCCCCTCCCTGGAGCCGCTCTGGTTTCAACAGTGTGAGGGTGTGTGTATCTATGTGCATGAGACATGCCACGGGAAATCCACATGCTAGGGGCGGGAAGACATGGAGGGCATGACACTGGACCCCCTCTGTGTGATTTGGGGTGTAAAAGGGCAGCCAAATGCCCTCAGAGAATGTTCTTTTTTTCTCTTGCTTTCTGCCTCAGGATTCTGGCACCTCTACAAACAGGGCTGTGCCAGAGAAAAGGAAGATTCAGAGGTCAGTCCATCCATCCCCAGCCTTTGGGCGGAAACAACCCTCTCTCCCAGTCCCTGTTGGAATTTGGGAGGGGACAGGGAAAGGCGGCGTCTTTTCTGTTTGGAAGTTTCTAAGGAAGCCAGCCCGGCTCCCACCCTTCCCTTCCAAAGAATGTGTCCTGTGATGTTTAGGTAGGAGTCAAGCCTTGAGCACAAATTTCTCCTGAACTGTCCTTTCTCCACAAGAGGAAGTGGGGATGGATACACCCAGTAAAGGGAGAGCACAAGAGAAGGGGCTTGGGTCAAACGTCCCCGGGGACACCAAAGCTTTCTGCCTTGGGGAGCAGTGGGGCTCAACTGACCTATTGGCAAGGGAAGAGGTCAACAGGGATGACTCGGTAGCCCCGGCACCCTGAGGATCTAGAAGAAACTCAGCCTTCCATCCCGAGTTTCAGATAAACCTCCAGAGGAGAGAGGGCAAGATCAGAGGCAGGAACCAAGGACGGTGGGGGGAGGAGGGAGACAAAGAAACAGTTGGAAGGAGAAACAAGGCGGGACCAGGGCAGATAAGGGCTGAAGCTGAGGCCGAGAGAGCGAGAGTAGAAAGCACACTGGATTGCCAAACAAGGACAGCAATCAGGACGCGTGGCTCGCCCAGGTCAGCTGCTCTTCTCTTCTTGGGCTACACCCTGAGTGGATGCCCCTGATGCCGCACCCGGATCCGCTCTACTGGCTGTGAGCCTTGCCTGCGATGGCTCCTGGCTGCCCCTTCTCTGGAGACTTGGGCAACCAGCTCCCTGCCTGGGAGGACTGGGGTGGGGGTTGGGGGGTGGAATTCTTTCTGTGGTTCATTCTTCATCCAGAGCTTCCCCACAGGATCACACCACAATCAGACTCCAGCTGTGAGAGTGTGGCCTTGCTTAGCGCCTCCTCTGCCCCATCCTGCTTCCCTCCCTCCCCTTCTGAGAGTTTGCCCTCAATAAACCGTATGCCCCCTCAATCCCTGTCTCAGGCTCTGCAGCAAGGAAATCGGATCTAGGATGCTTTTGTGTACAGATCGCACCTTAGCTCCAGTGCCTGGGATGGTGTGTCAGTGTACAGTAATGCTAAACATTATATTACATGTGGTTGATTGAAAGAATGAGTGATTGGTTGAATTAATGCTCTGGATGAGAGATAAGTGGGTGGGGAGGTTTACTGTAGGACTTCCCTCCCCCCCACACACACACACACACCCACACACACACGGTGTTAACCTCGTCTCCCTGGCTCATCCCAGTACGTCCTGTCTGCATATAGGCCACCTGCTTATGTGTGTGCAAACTCAGCGGCAGATAATCCCGTTTGTGGATTATCCAGACCCCCAGCTGGCATCTTCCCCTTCAGTATGGCCTGCCTGAGCCCTCTCTCTGTTCCAGCACCTTTGGGTGGGGAGGGTTGGGCAGAGGAAGGCAGCAGGGGAGGGCAAGTTGACGGAACCTCAGTCCATCAACACTGTTGCTACTATCGCAGCAATGTGATGAAAGATCAGAAACTATTGGGTAAAACCATGTTAGGAATTTTCTATGGATTCCAGGTATCAAGGCTCATCATCAAATAGGCAGTTAAAGAGCCATTTAGAGAGTGAAAATACTCTGAATGAAGGTAGGAAAATCTCCTGCAAGTAACCAGGTTCGGATCATTGAGAATCATAGTTTCATAAGATGTCTTAAGATAATTCAAGAATATGCACTGTCTTCACCTAACCTGAAAGCTTTCCAGGAAGGAGGGTATGCAGATCCCTCAGGTGTGTTAGTCCCCGTCAAGAAGGCCTTCCTGTTATCTGCCCTCCTGCCAGACTGCTGCAGTTTGGTCTGCTTCTCTTCTGATTTCAGGAGAAAGAAGAACAAGGGATCTCCCATTCTTTTACCCATAATGCTCCATCACCCAAATACCTAGAGCTACAGTGTCAATAGAAATAGAATGCGAACCACGTATGGAATTTTAGAATCTCTGCTAGCCACATTTTGTAAACATAAAAAGAAGCAGACGAGGGGGTCAGCCCGATGGCAAAGTGGTTAACTTCACAGGATCCACTTCAGCAGCCTGGGGTTCACTGGTTCAGATCCTGGGCATGGACTTGCACACCACTCACCAAGCCATGCTGTGGCAGCATCCCACATATAAAATAGAGGAAGATTGGCACAGATGTTAGCTCGGGGCCAATCTTCCTCACCAAAAAAAAAAGCAGATGAAACTAATTTTAATGAAGTATCTTATTTAACTCAATATATCAAAAATTATCATTTCAACCTATCTATATAAAATAGTATTAGTGGGGACTTCATCAGACTAAAGAGCTTCTTCAAGGCAAGGGAAAACAGGATTGAAACAAAAAAACAGCTCACTAATTGGGAAAAAATATTTACAAGCCACTTATCCAACAAAGGGTTAATCTCCATAATATACAAAGAACTCACACTGCTTAACAACAAAAAAACAAACAACCCGATCAAAAAATGGGCAGAGGACATGAACAGACATTTCTCAAAAGAAGATATGAATATGGCCAATAGACACATGAAAAGATGTTCATCATCGCTAATCATCAGGGAAATGCAAATCAAAACTATGCTAAGATATCACCTTACCCCCGTTAGATTGGCAAAAACATCCAAAACCAAGAACGACAAATGTTGGAGAGGTTGTGGAGAAAGAGGAACCCTCATACACTGTTGGTGGGAATGCAAACTGGTACAGCCACTATGGAAAATAGTATGGAGATTTCTCAAAAAGTTAAAAATAGAAATACCCTATGACCCAGCATCCCATTACTGGGTATCTATCCTAAGAACCTGATATCAGATATCTCAAGAGTCCGTTGCACCCCTATGTTCATCGCAGCATTATTTACAATAGCCAAGACGTGGAACCAGCCTACATGCCCAGAAACTGATGATTGGATAAGAAGATGTGGTATATATACACAATGGAATACTACTCAGCCATAAAAAAAGATGAAATTGGCCCATTCACAACAACGTGGATGGACCTCGAGGGCATTATGTTAAGCGAAATAAGTCAGTCAGAGAAAGACGAACTCTATATGACTCCACTCATAGGTGGAAATTAGTATATTGAGAAGGAGATCTGATCGGTGGTTACCAGGGAAAAGGGGGGGTGGGGGGAGGGTACGGAGGGGGAAGTGGTGTACCCACAACATGACTAACAAAAATGTACAACTGAAATCTCACAAGGTTGTAATCTATCATAACATTAATAAAAAAAATAAAATAAAATAAAATAGTATTAGTGAAATATTCTACATTCTTTTTTCATACTAAGTCTTCAAAGTCTGTGTATTTCATGTATACAGCATGTCTCGGCCACAATTCCCCTGCTCAGCTGCCACATGTGGCTGGGGGCTGCCATACTGCACAGCACAGATCTACACCTTGGGAGTCCCTTCCCCTACACCTGCCCCACATGCGGCTCCTCTGGGGAGGGAGGTGGAGAATGGCAATCTGGATACAGCCTGACTATCCTGGGGTGACCCTGGGAGGAGCTGGAAGACGGCAGTGGCGACAGACTCTAGGGAGCATCCTGGGCCAGGTAATTAATTACTGGGAAGGGAGGAATGAAACTGTGCCTATTAAACCTCAGACTCAGGTCTTTCCTCCTGAGCAGTAAGTAGGGCCAAGAAAGCATTCCCAAGGCCACAGTTCTCCAGTCCCTCGTTAATCAGAATACTTAATTCAAGTTCCAAATCTGCGTCTTTTCCTCACTTCCTCCAGGAAGGCTTCCCAGATAAATTCTCCAACCTTACTTGATAGCTTCTTTCCTGAGTGCTCTCACCATTTATAGACTAAAACCACTTCTTCACTGTAGTGACACCCCAACCCTCCAACCCTTGAGTGGACACCCCACATTCCACAGAGATGAGCTGAGTACCCACTGTGTACCTGCCACTGTCTTGGGGACACGACGGTGAGCAAAATGGATGATGGCCATCCTCCTAGAACGATTAGCCTGGAGATGAAGGCAGACAATACACAAACTCAAAGACAAAACAGACAAGGGAATTTCAGAGAGTGATAGATGAAGGCAGAAAGATCCTAAGGAGGCCCCATGCCCAGCTTGTACAAGAACCCTGAAAGTGAGCCAGAAAAGACCCGATATTGTCTACTCCACCTCCTCGCTTTACAGATGGGTAAACTGAGGCCAGGAGACTAGGAATGGCTTGGTCAAGGTCACAGAAGTTGGTGGCAGAGCCACGTCTTGCTTTGTAGGTTCTTTTCTGAGGTGCTGGCTGGTCAGACTGGCGGCTCTGTTCCTCGCCCATCAGACTGGGAGAGTTCCAGAGACTGAGTAAGCAGTTCTGCCTTCTCTTTCTCTAAGGATAAGAGTCAGCATCTGGAAAGAAAAGCAATGGATAATCTCATAAAAACAAACACAATCAAAAGCACAAAACCTCACTTTCGGCAATTCTTAAAACCCAGCTGGCAGCCCTACCCTCCTCAGCCAATCTTTTCACCAGATTTATGGGGGCGGGGGGTGCTAAAGAGATAAACCCTCAGGCCTCCCCACCTCCCTGCTCCTTGCAGGAGGGCCAGAGACCCAGGATTAGCCCAGGAGCCTGAGTGAACTCAACAGAGAGGGGAGCCTCAAACAGCCCCGAGTGGCCGAGGGATCTGGTACTTCCGGTTTCCGCCACCTGTTCCGGGAGTCCACGAGCTAGAGAAGTTGGCGGGTCTCCCCACTAGAGGCGTGGGGGCCGTCCGGGGTCTCGGCTGCCCTCCTTGGGGCGCAAGGTCTGTTCTCCACGTTCCCTGCAGATCATGCACTCCCAGTGTCAGCCTCTCCCTCCCTGAGCCAAGTCCTTATTTTAGGAGTTGTTTCGCCCACTGAGCCTGACGTCTGTGAGAAGCTGGGGGCTTAGGGGGTCCTCGCCATCTGCCCACCACCGCCATCAGCCAGGCAGCCCCGGGCGGGGCCCAATCCCGGGCCCCAATCCCCGGGCCCCAATCCCCGGGCCCAATCCCAGGCCCAGAAAGTCAGCCCAAGCTCACTCCCCGCCCCCCGCCCCGCCTCCGCCTGCGAATCCTCTGCCAAGTTGCTGGTGATATTATTTCTTACCTCCCCAAAAGCAAGGGCACTATAATGTCTGCTCCACACCGCCCACCCCACCCCCACCCTTCAGTTTGAAGAGGATTTAAATCTGAGGATGGAGAAGGAGGAGCCTGGATTAAATTTCCCTCCGCACCCAAGCTCCCTCTATGGCACACAGGTTGGCACCGTCTATGAAAACTTGAAATACACACAACAATTACACTTCTAGGAATTCCTCTTATAGGACTCTCCCCCAAGTGTACAAAGAAATATGAACAAGGAAGTTCATTGCTGGGGACACTCTGTGGATTTAATTAATAAATGATGGTCCATTCATACAATGGAATCTCATGCAGTCATCGAAAAGAATGAGAAAAATCCATACATCCTGACATTGAATAATGCCCAAAATATAAATGAGAAAAGCAAAACTGTACAATATGCCTAACATAATCCCATGTGTGTTATAGGTACATACCTTTTTTGTACATGTATAGAGAAAAAAATATCTGGAAGATTGTATGTAAAAACCCGTTCACAATATTTAACTAGCTCTGAAGTTTAGATTATGGGGTTCTCCATTTTCTAAGCTTCTTTCACAACAAAGATCTATTCCTTTTGTAACCAGTTGGAGGAGAGGGGAAACGGTGAAAACCTTTTTTTAAAAAGGAAGGAAGGAAGAACAAATACTATCCTCTGGCTTAGCTGGGGGAGGAGGTCCCCTGACACCCACCCACAAACTCCCCAGCCGTGGTCCTGCAGATGGCCTTGGAAATGTGTGGCTACAGACTGCCCACCCCCTACAGCCCAGTGAGGGCCCGGCCTCCCTTACTGCCTCCACTCCCTCCCCTCCGACCGGCCTCCATTCAGAAAAGGCCTGTGGTGGAGCACAGGCTGTCCTGTGTGCTCCTAGTGCTTCAGCGGAATTCAGTGTTTCCCAGGCCCTGGTGGAGGTGGCCATCTCAAGAAAGACTTGGAATGACACATGGTCAGTGCGAAAGGAGGGTGGGGACTTCTGGCCAGATTTGAGGCCAGAGCTCTGCTGAGCTTTGCAGATAAAGCTCCCACTCTTCAGGAAGGGGAGTAGGGGAGCGGAAGGCTGGCCCTTAATCTAATCAAGGCAGGGAGGGAGGGGGGGAAGGAGAAGGAGGTCAGAGCTCTGAGATGCTGGACTTGCTGCCTGCCTCAGGAGTACAAAGAGCCAGCCTGGGAGGAAGGATCTGGATGTACCACTAAGTAGCTGTGTGTCCTTGGGCAAGTTGCTGCCTGCTCTGGGCCTTAGGAATTTCTTTCCTTCCTCTTTGCTTTTTCTCTTCCTTGAACACATGCAGCATAGGAGGACTAGAGAGGGCATGGAAGGTGAGGAACCACTGCCATCTTTGCCCTCATGAGGAGGGGCTTGCGGAACAGCAGGGCACCCAGGGAAAGTGCCCTCCATCTGGATTTTACCATCCAACCTGTGCAAGGAGAGGAGGTGACTGGTGGGGGGAGGGCAGCCCAGAAGGGAGCCCCACCTCTGGGCCCAGCTCACAGGTATCCAGCCCCTGCCCACCACTGCTGGCCCCCAGAGACCCTCTGCTCTCAGGGAGCCTCTCCCTCAGCACCCATCAAAGAAATTCTGCTTAATAAAGAAGCTGAGACAAGAAAACTACAACCTACCCCAACCCTGATCCCACCCCCATTCCAGGCCAGTGGCCCAGAACTCAACATGCAGGATCCCTGGGTGGGACCGGAAAGCGAGGAGATCCTATTGCTCCTGTCCAAACCAGCCCCCCTTCCACCAGCAGACAGGAAGGTGACCCCCTCCCTTCCAGTTCTGCATCCCTTTGATGCACCAAGGCAGGAGGATTATTTCAAAGCTCCCAACCCCCTCCCAGCCAGATTGTAGCTTTCTAATCAGAATTCCCCAGTCCCTCTTGAGGGACGTCAGGAAGAGCTGGAACATTCCTAAGTCTCCTGTGGACCATGGTCCCTGTCCAGGGCTGGAGCCAGGGGGAGCAGAAGACAGTTCTAACCAGCTAGGGAGGGAGAGTGTTTGGCAGAGCCAGAACCAGGAGCTGGCACCGTGGAGGACTTTCTGCAAGGGATGGGGGAGCATCTCTGCCTTTCCCCAAATTCAGAGGCCTCCGTGCCTCAGGTGACCCGAAATGAAAAAAACTTGTCCTTGGAGATTTTGACAAAAGAGCAGAATTGGGTGGAATGAGGAGGGAAAATCTCCCAGCAGGACAGAGGATCCTTCTAGCCAGGTCCTCCCCAGCTTGTTCCTGGGCTGCAGAAGAGGACTCTGCCCTGACTACTAAGAGAGATGAATCACAGGTGTGTGTAGAGGGGGGCCAGGTAGCACGTGTCCCCAGCAGAACCAGCCCAGCAGCCCTGTCAAGCCGGCTTCGGCACTGACGCACACCTGGGCACCCTTCCGGATCAATGCACACCCACCCCCATCCTGCCAGCCGCGCAGGGTAGGGGGTGCTGGGGAGGGGGGGGGCACGGGGTGGATGTCTGAACTGGCACAGACTCTGTAGCAAAACTTGGCAGCCCCCCCACGCCCCGCCACCGTCAGTGTTGCCAGCACCTTGTCTCCCTCCCCAAGTCTTTTTATCTGATTCTGGAGAGGGAACTCTGAACCTACTCTGGGGATCCCATGTTTGCACAGAGGATGGGGGTGGGATTTGGGAGCTGGAAAGAATTGTGCTTGGTTTTTACTCTCTATTCCCACCCAGATTAGGAGGATCTGATTGTTCTGCGTTATCTCAGACAGTTGGCCCTGGTACTGGTGAGGAGGGGATGCCCCTGGAAGTCTGGGCAGGGGCATTCAGGCCCTCACAACAGTAGCATTTTACTTTTATCACTGCTGGCATTGGTGGCCAACAGCTTCCCCCTCCTCTCCCTGAGGGTCCAGCAGTCCAGTCCCACCTGACCCAAACAGCTACTACTACTGCCCCTCTCGCGGGAATAGCTACCATTCCCAGAGCTGGACAACTCATGGCTTAGTCACTGGGGCCAGGCTGGCTCGATCCAGCTCAGGCCTCCCCAGCTCCAGCCGCTGCCATTGCTGCCAATGAGCTGTAGTCAGCAAGACTGAGCACACAGAAGTGGATTAAAGCCAGGAAGGATTTACTTTCCATTCTCACCAGATGCCCCAAGGCAGAAAAAAAAAAACAAAAAACCCAGACTAACAAGTACTGGGGAGAGCAGGAGGTTGGGGACACACAAGGCTCTTTGAGGACTCACCTATACAGACCTAGGAAGTGACCCCAAGGGCAAGGACCTAGTTGCAGCTCAGACTAGCAAAATTTGAAATTAAATCTGAAAGGACCAGCTGGTATCAGGGTCAAGTAAGAGCCAGAGGATGAGAGGAGGGGAGGAGAGTAGGAGGAGAAGGGACCCCCCCCCCGCCCCCCGCAAAAAATGGCAGAGATCAGGCAACAGCTGAGGGAGGGTTCAACTCCTTCCATAATTTCCATCAGCCATCCCATAAACACACAAACTAATTTTTAGAAAAGAGCTTACTTTGCAAACTCAGCTTCAAGGTACGTCCCCTGTCTCCTCCCACCCACCCATACCGAAATCTTGGACCATCCCCGGGGCGAGGTAAGGAGAGGAAAATGCCAGCCATAGAGCTACAGTATCATCAGTCTTTAATAACTTATAAGTAAATGCTAAAAAATAGGTAATAATAATACAGAGGACACACACACAGCTTATAAAAACACTTGCGGATGTACAAATGTGGGGAGGGATTCTTGGCACTTTCACACAGACACAAAAAGAAAGACTATTGTGACTGGCACCCCTAGAAAAGCAGCCTGGGGAGACTCCCCAGTTGGAGGAGGGGGTGGGACAGAGATAATCCTCATTCATCCCAAATGCATTCTCCAAGCAACTTTTCTTTGCCCCAAAACACATCTAATCAAAAAGCCAGAGAAGCAAAATAAGAAACAGGGTCGAGGTAGAGTGACAGTTTACATTTAAGCCTCCACAGCTGCAGGCCCTGCTCCTGCGGAGGTCAGGAGGGAGAGGTCAGAAGCCATCCCATCTCCCATCCCCCTCCCCAACGCTGCACCAAAACAGGAGCCCCAGTGTGCCCCTCAGTCCTTCATTGAGGTGGACAGGTCCTGCACCAGGGGCTGAGCAAGGGGCCACGAGCTCTGCCTGGCTGTCCAAGTGTGCAGACCCCTACTGGTGAGGAGGGCGGCCTCAGGTCACCGTCTCTTCTTGCCTACCCGGGCCGCCTTCTTCCTCTTGAGGATCATCTCATACAGGCGCTCAAGGCCAGGCTGCAGGCCCAGCCCATTCACAGCACTGCAGCCCTGCACGTGGGTGAGTGTGGCAGCAGCCAGCTCTCGGACTGCCAGTCTCTTCTCCACCTCGGCTGCGCTCAGTGCCCCAGGCTGATCCTGCTTGTTGGCCAGCACCAGCACAGGCACACCCTGGTTGTCCGAGGCCCGGCTGATTCGGTGTAGCTCCACCTTGGCCTCCTCCAGGCGCTCCACCTCTGCAGCATCCACCACAAACACCAGCCCATCTGTCCGGCGTGTGTAGGAGCGCCACAGTGGTCGCAGCTTCTCCTGTCCCCCGACATCCCACACTTGGAAGGTGATACCACGGGAGCCCCCCAGGGGCACCCGGATCTTCTCTGTGTTGAAGCCTTTAGTGGGGACACTCTGCACAAACTCTTTGAACTTGAGGCGGTAGAGGAGGGAGGTCTTTCCAGCTGAGTCCAGCCCGACGACCACTACGTGCAGGGCCTGGAAGTGGGGCAAGAAGGAGGAGGCAGTGGGCGCCATCTCGGTCAAGTGGTTCCCCATGGTGAGCTCCGGCTGAAGTGCAGGTCTTGGGGCTCACGGTAGAGGCTGGGTGATCTGAACAGGGAAAGGTCACGGGAGAAAAAAGGGGGAGAC